TTTGCGTACTTGTCGCGAAATTCGGGGTCGGCTTGATAGCCGCTGATGAAACTGTCCCGCAAGTCATCTTCGATCTCGAAGGTTGAGTAGACCGCGGTGCAGTGGTCCGGACGCCGTGAAAGAGCATCCGCAAAACGGTTTGACTTCCCCAGAATGTGATCGGGAAAGAAGTCGAATTGGTCGATAAAGGTCATCCAATGGGCGATGGTGCTGTTGACGATGTCCTGAGACTTGTAGAAGACCAACGGATTGTTGTCCATTACCCATCGGAACTGGCGTCGACCAAGGAGGAAGTGCCGCCACCGCTTGAGTGCGTGGACGAAGGCGAGAAGTTCCTTCTTGCGTGCATCATCGATTGAGCGCAGGGCCGACATTCTCTTGCTGAAGTATTCGACTGGGTGTCAGTCCATGCCGTCATGTTGTTCGAGGATAGCACCAATGTCATAGCCGGACGCGTCCGTGGTGACACGTGTTGGCAATAGCGGGTCGTATATCCGCAATACCTCCGCGGAGAGCAATGCGACCTTGAGGGCCAAGAATGATTCACGTGCGTCCGTCCTGAAGTCAAACGACCGGTTCTCGCATTGAAGCTTGGTTAAGTGAGCCGCGATCTTCGAGCACACTTTGATGAAACATTGGTAGTAGCCGGCAAGCCCAAGGAATGATCGGACATCCATGACGTTTCGCAGCTGCGACCAATCTTGGACGGCTTGAATCTTGTCTGACAACAGACTGATGCCTTGTGGAGTAACGAAGTGGCCCAAGTATTCCAACTCTTGGCGTACGAATTCGCACTTGTCGCGGTTGGCTTTGAACTTGGCGCGCCGGAGTGTCTCCAACACTCGTCGAAGATGGTCAAGATGTTCCTCCAAGGTCCAACTACAGACGAGGATGTCGTGCAAGTAGACTAGCACGAACCGGTCCAGCATTGCACGGAACTCGTTGGTCATCGCCACTTGAAAAGTCATCGGGGCGTTGGTGAGTCCAAAAGGCATGACGACCCACTCGAAGTGCCCATACCGTGTCTTGAAGGTGGTCTTGTAGCGATCTTGCAGCCGAATCGAGATCTGATGATATCCTGACTTCAAGCCCAGTTTGGAAAAAAATTATGCGCCGCCCAAGCGCTCCAGAAGGTCGTCAATACGAGGAAGAGGTCATGCGTTCTTGACGGTTTGCGCATTGAGCTTGCGGTAATCGATGCATAGGCGAAGGTCCTTGTTCTTCTTCCGAACGAAGAGAACCGGCGCACCATAGGGTGAGCTGCTAGGCCGAATCCAGCCTTTGTCCAACAAGTCGTCGAGCTGCACGAGGAGTACTGTAAGTTCTTCCTCGCTCATGCGATAAATGCAACCTTTTGGCGGCACGACACCGGCCTCGAAAATGATCTCGTGCGAGATCGACCGATCCAGCACCACGCCGGTAGGTGACTCGAAGACGTCGGCGAATTCGTCGAGCAACCGCACCACCCGGGGGTCTGAAGATAAGTCCGTGGGTTGAGATTCGGCTACTGCGACGGTTCGAAGAAAACATAAGCCTATCTCTTCGGTCCGCTCGTAAGCGCAAGTGGCCCGAAAAGATTTGGCTGTTACAACTTGGCACCGGATTGAAGGGTGTGGGAGAGGAATAGTACATGGTACTTCGGCGCCAAACGCATCGCGAACCGTAAGTGTCCGCCGATGGAAGTTGACCGTGTGATCCGCACTTGCAAGCCAAGGCATGCCCAAAATGATGTCGAAGTCCGTGTCCAAGACGTCAAACGTCATCGGTTCTCATGCATGAGGTGCGAAATAAACCGGGACGGGTTCGATGTAGCGATCAAGGAGTTGTTGCGTTCTTCCGTCCGCCAACTTGATCGACATAGGGTCTGCCTTCCTTCGAACTTGTGGTCCAAGGCCGGCCCTTTCCATGAAGGACTGGCTAACGAAGTTGCGAGTCGCGCCCATATCCAGCAAAGCACTGTAGGACGCTTGCCCGATTTGGATGCGGACATAAAGGAGCGGTGCGTTGTTGTCGTCGTACCGCTGCATGCGAAACTCGCGGGCCACCTTGCTCACATACGCAAGAATGTCCCCCACCGCGACTTCGTCCTCCGTCGGCGAAGTTGGTGGTGCATAGAAGGCTAGGTATRTATGGAGATGAGYGCTAAGAGYTGCGCATTACRRCTCMGGTAAGCAGCCGGTGGAAGGGAGAGGAAGCCATGCAAAATCCTCRGGCGTCAACGRGTCSAAGTCCTCTATGTTGAACGCGSGCGCCGAATCCCGTGAAGGTCCACTTGAAGACGAATCAATGCCGCTGCTTCCGATCGGAGAAGAAACCGCACATACATCATGTCCTTGGGCTCGTGAATTCAGCGAAGGTACGAGCCNACTTGAAGACGAATCAATGCCGCTGCTTCCGATCGGAGAAGAAACCGCACATACATCATGTCCTTGGGCTCGTGAATTCAGCGAAGGTACGAGCCCAGAAGCATAGTCCTCGAAGGAGTGAAGAATGAGAGGACTTACGACGTCCGCTTGTGCCTCGGAACCGATGGAGGTTACCCGTACGGCAACCGGTTCCGTAGGCGTCGAGAGTGTCGTCGCGTCACTCTCGGCGGTGCTCACTTTCCCGACTGGGCGGTACCCGTGGCCTTCGTGGGACAGCTCGCTGTCTCATGTGCTGAGTTGTTGCACCACAAACAATAGCGGTACTTGGTGCGGACGCCGTACCCACGCTCCGTAAGCCCGTACGTTGTCCAAGGTCCTTGCTCTTGAGCTGCTGCCCGAGCCCAGAAGAAGTAGTGGTGTTCGTCTTCGTCTTGCCGCGTCCTCGTCCTTTGGCGGGGCGGCCACCATTCTGGGCAGCTGCGAGTCTGTTTCCCTCGTCAGACAAAACAGCCTCGTTTAAAATTGAAGGGTCGCTAGGCGTTGCTGCTGCGACCACGGCCACTTTCGGCCGATGCTGATTCGCGCCCTGGCCGGCAGTCGACGAGTGGCCCGTATTCCTGGCTGCCAAATTCGTCACAATGATCTGCGCAGCTTTGTTGAAGAGTTCCTCAATTGTGTTGAGGTTCTTGGCGACTTGAGCTAACGCATTCTGCAACACTAAGCACGGCCTCTTTATGAAGTAAAGCTTGATGACGTCGAAATTCATCGGCAACTTGGGCGTGCTTGCCAGTCGTTGGAACTCGGATATCCAGTCTCCACTTGGCATGCTGTTCTGCGAAAAATATCAGCAGCTTGTCCATTGCCTGGTGCTCGGGCGGTTCTACTTGGAAACGCTTCTTCCATGCCGCCGTGAGATCCGCCCAGGTGATGTACTTGTGTAACTCGGTGACTGTACATGCATGTGCGGACAGCATGTTGTCCAACCATGCCTGACACGCGCCTCCCGAGCGGGAGTACAAATATGCATGCCGATTTGCRTCGATGACGTGGTGGRTATCCAGCTTGAGTTCAAACTGGCGCCACCATTGGAWGGGGTCGGTCTTCGATGCKTCACAGAAGATCGGGAGCCCATCGAACTTGGCAAYAGTTTCGCKYGTYGTTGCGCTAGGGCCGGCCGCTGCGRAAACCTGCTGTTSCAGCTGYTGTGCCCSAGTCTTAAGWGTTCCCACGTCTATCTCCAAGACATTGACGCGATCRGTGAGGTCSGAGGGGYCRGCGCTGGCAGTAGCGACCTGCTGCTCYAGCTGTTGTATGCSCTTGAGCAKCTGGTCCATCGACTGTTGTAACGCCTTGTTGGTGTGGTCGAGAGAGTGGATGTCCTCCTGCTGCGCGATACAAGTAGCGAGGAGGTCTGTGACGCGGTTGAGCAGCTGAGCTACTCTGATCCCGTAGTCAACGGATTCTCCGTTCTCGGCCTCCCTCTGCCAGTCCTTGGCCTGTGCATGTAATGCATTCTCCTCCCTGAATATAACCTCGCGTCGCCGCACACGTTCTTCATCAGCGGCCTTGGCTGCTGCTGCCGCGTGCTTCTGTCGCTGTTCTTCGGCCAGAAGACGCAGTCTCTCTGCCTCTGCCTCTCTCTTCTTCCGTGCTGCTGCCGCTGCTTCTGCCCGTTGCTTGCTTTTGGCTATGATAGCAGCCAACCGTGCCTCGTAGGCCTCGTCAGACTCGCCTGCTTTCTGATCCATCGCCGCTGTCTGCGAGCGAGTAAGTATGGTCATGCGTTGCGGGTCCCTGACGAGGTCTGCAACTGCAGGTGAATGGGCAGTTAAGAAGGACGGAGAAGGGATGGAGAGCTGGGGTGGGGAGAAGGGGAGTGGGCAATTGAATGGGTCGCCCAGGTAGGGGGCCACTAGTCAAGAACAAAATTGGAACTTTTGCAAAAAATTTCGTGGATTTTTTTTTTTTTTCAATTTTTCAAGTTCAGTATGCCCCCCCAAGTATCCCCTCAGCAGTTAGTTCGAAAAAAGAACAAAATTTCCGAATTTCGGACTGCAAATGAATCAAAATATCAATTGGAGATGATGGGAGTAGCTGAACTGCGAAAATAGTAAGAAAAAAAAAAAAACGAATTTCCTCAAGTCCAGAAAATTCCGAAATACAAACAAAAAATTCGGAATTATTTAGGTGAGAGTATAACTGCAAGAGGATTTTCCCGAAAAAGTAGAATTTCCGAAACTCAGATTAACGGCCAATATTGAAATGGTCGTTGTCCCCAGATTCGTGAAGAATGCTGGGGGGTTTCCAGAAATTCGAAAGAATAAAAAAAGATGAATTTCAGAAAAGAAAATCGGAATTTTGGAATAACGGGAATTTTGTCACGGAAATAAATTAAAAAATTACGAAATTTCGGATTTCAGAGAAAAAACTTTGAAATGACGAATTTGAAAAAAAAATCGCGGAATTTTTTTGAAATATCGGGAAATTGCAGAAGGACATATGAATCGAAAGAAACTTTTCGTAACAGTATTCCGGATCTCCAGCAACGAAATTTCGAATTTCCGAAAAAAGGTGAAAAACGAGAATTTCAAATGCTTTGCTATTGCGATTTTCCTCCAAAAAAAATACCGGGAAAATGCAATCCAAAAGAGAAAAAAAAAATCGATTTCGGCAGTTAGGTCAGAATCTGCGATTTTGGGGACTGATTAGTGTGATCCAATCAATCAATCAATCAATCAATCAATCAATCAATCAATCAATCACTGATCGATCAATCAATCAATCAATCAATCAGGGATCAATCAATCAATCGATCAGGGATCAATCAATCAATCAGAGACTAATCAATCAATAGTCCCCGCACATGTGTCAGATCAGGTTGATAAGTCCTGATTCACGTGCGGGGCTCCGATACCAAAACTGACGCATGTCCAGTGGGACAATGCGCAGGGAGCCAAGGATC